TAATAGCCTGCAGAAAAGCTAAATGCAAAATGCTGCCAAACAGAGTATACATAGAGAGATCTTAAGAAACCAAAGATTCAGTAAAATAAAGAGAAAAATCCCAGTGCAGCTTCCTGGCTAGCTCCACCATGTGACTCTACCCTACAAAAGACAGTTCAATTTTATTTTTCTTAGGTGATCTGTATTTCTACTGATGATGCTTTGGGACAGCATTGAAGAAATTATCATCATGTGCTGTTTGCTTCTTGCCAATGCAGGAAAGTGCTGTAGTCCAGGATGTGTAGCCTGCCTGTAGTTAAACCGATACGCTATGGAGTTGAGAAGGAAGTTTGAACCCATTTTTCTTGTATGAAAAAGCTCCAGGCTGAAAAGTTGGGAGATTAATGATCTAGCAGTTTTCTTGAATGTAGAAAGTGCAAGCTGTCACAGTGACTGGAGTTACAAGCACCTGATGCCTTGTCTACTTACAGTCCCTATAAGTAAGGTGCTAAGGAATTTGTGTGGGGTACAGGCACTGATTTTCCATTACTCTGCATGCAAAATTTCTGAAGCAATGTTGGTAAATCAGTACCTGTAAATTAATGCATTGCCTTCCCAATGTATCAATGCCGCTGGGGGACAGACAGCGTTGCCTGCTTTAGCAAGGAATGTGTCCAGTCTTGCCTTTGATCGTGAATGATCAGGATGAGTCCCGTCTCCGTGCCAGGCCAGCACCAGAGCGTACTCTCCACTGGCCCTGCACCTGCACCCTGGTTTTGTGGGCAGGATACTCAAATCTGCATCCCAGAAGGGAGCAATGATTAATTCCAGTCCAGCCCCAACCTAGAGCCCTCCGGCAGTGTTCAGGCTATGCTTCCACTTAGGTACTGCTTTGACAAATACAAGTCTAAATGAAGGGGGTGTGTGTGTGTGTGTGTGTGAATTGCTACACTGTGCCTTATCTGTTTTGTTAAGCAGGGCAATATTTACTGTTGTTTGCTATCTTTCTGGTTTCACCTCAGTTGAAGCATCCATTGATTTTTTCCTAATTTATACTAGCAGCAATAATTTTAGAATCAGGCTCTATGTATTTATTTCAGTATTTTTTTCAAGACTATATGCTATGCAGTATCTTTCAGACCCTCCCCCCCTCAACAAAATACTAAAACCTAAATGTACTTTTTATCAGTTATGCTATTTATATTCTGAATGTCACTTAATGTATCAGACATAGAAGGATAGATAGGTTCTGTATTGATTGTATTTTCTGGTATTCTTACTTTATGGCAGTGGTGTAGTATGAGGGTTACAGAATTCAGAAAGAGGTATACTTATAGTCAACTTTCTGATGGGATGTAGTTTTAATGAAAGGTATCTTTTAACAAACCCATCTTTTACAAAGAACAGCTACATTCCTTTCACCAAGCAATATGTTTGTTGCCTGATTGAGAGCTAGCCTAAAAAGAAAGAAAGAAAAATGTTGTGTTAGTTTATTTCTTCCTTAAACTGCCTGAAAAAAGCACTGGAATATTTCTTTGTGTTCAACAATAACTTTTTATTATTTGAAAACTTCAGATTTTCTGTGCTCTGGAAAGTCTGTGTATGACTGAGAATGACTGGGTGAATATCATCATAGATGATTAACTTTAAAAGGGAGTTATTTTGATGCAGACTATTTAATTGTGTTTCTGAAGCCAAGCACCTGTTTGGCTCAGATCCTAGTGAAGAAAGGTACCTACTAGAAAGATACTACAATATTTTGTTCCTTTAGATATGGCCAAGGCTGCTCTGAGCTCAAATGACTGCATTGAAGAATCAGAGATGCTTACCGTCAAAAGTTTGAATGACTTTGTGCACAGAACCACTCCAAAAGGAAGAGCAAAGAGAGGGAAATTATGCTTTTAACTCATTTTTGTCCTCTCTAGGTTACTGGACCAGGCAATTTTTTCTCTTCCTGTTGTCCTGATGGTTTTCAATGAGCTAGGGAGGAGAAAGGCTCAAAATGCACTGTGGAATCTAACTTTTATGTGTGTTATTTGCTTGCTTGTTTAACTAGGGACAGGGGGCCCTGTCTGAGAGGCTAAGGAGCTTTAGCATGCAGGATCTTTCGACGATTCGTGGAGACAGCAGCAGCACTGTTCCTCCTTCGGTCACTGTACGAACAAGTAGCAAACAGAGCCAGCCAAAAACATCCAGAAGTGCATCGGAAGGCACTGGCAGCTCAGGTAAGTGCCAGTGTTATTTTCAGTGTTGTGTTGTCCAGAATATCATGCAGCTGAATGAAGTCATGCAGTTGGCAAGCATATATAGAAACAGACATTGCAGGCAGCACATACCAGAATTCGCAGGACACAGACACGCTGTCGAGTCTCTTGACACTTGAGAGAGAAAACAGTATCATCATTTGATGGTTACTGTTCCTGGCTGGTACCAAGGACTGGACTTGAGCAGGCAAGGGAGCCAGCATCAGTCCTTGCAACTTGAGCTGAAAAGTTAGGCTCTGGGCTGGGGGCTGCAAGCTGTGGTGGGTTTTCAATGAGAGGGGCTAATGGAAGTGCAAAAAGGTGGGATAAGAATGCATAGTAGTGGGCGAGGGTCATTATTGTCATCAAAGCCCCCATATGGTGATACGGCCTCTCTCTCTTATGTCTTCTAAACATAAATGTTAATTCTAATGGATATCTGGTTTGAATTTGGCTTACTTGTGCTTCTTCTAAACTGTAAGTAGCTGTTACAGCACTTGACAGTTGTAGTTCCAGAACTTTATCTATCACTGATGAAGCCTACTGAGAAATAAAACCCATATAAAGCACTCCTAGAAGTAGAGACCAAGATCTGACAGCTGTTTATGATATGAAGGATGTCAGCATAAGCACTGTTATGGAAAACAAGTCTCTCTGAAGGGCAGTGGTTTGTTTTCAAATTCTGAAAGAACAAAGGGAAGAAACATCATGGTGGGAATAAGTTCCATTCCTGAGGATTTAGTTACAAAAATTTATTTCAAGCTTGGTTAAAGAAATCTTTGTGAGCCCAGATCCAAAACATTTAATTGGAGATAGCTTTGCAGATTAGATCTCAAAAATGGAGACATGGAGGGTTATCCCAAGCAGGGGGTTCCAGATGACTTCTGGGATTCCTGAACACCACCAAAGATCATGCGACTCAACTGCTGTGATGAGAAGCCACAGAAAGTTGCAGGCGTGTTGCACTTAGTAGCTTGTGAAACATATGCTGGCAAGTTTGAAATTTAGCAGTTCCAGCTTGTGTGTGTTGAAGTCTGTGCAAACAGTCACTGTGTTTCAAGTCTGTGTAGGTCGCTACCCCTTCTAGTTTGCCTTAGTTTTGGAATGTATTAGAAATGTCTTGTCTCGTCCTTCCTAAAGAATATGGTTAAGCCCTTTACAAATTCTGAGAACTACAGCTCACAGACTTCTCTTTTTATTGTTTTTTTAACATTGTCTGTTGAATAAATTCTCTTTACAGGTCAACTGAAATAGCTAATGTTGATGCACAGTGGGTTTATTCTGATGTTTATATAAGGTCTTGTATACACTTCTCTTGAAGTAATCAATCTGAAAGTAAAGTCTTCACACACAGAATATGAAATTTACTCCAAAAAAAAAAAAAAGATTCACATATCATTTAGACCAAAATAACAAATAAAGCATAATTTAGTTATCTTAATTCCATGTTGTGTAGAGCAGCCTTTGTGGTTTTGTTCTTAAGGCAGTGAACTCAGCTCACCTGGCCACAAACCCCTCTCTTAAAACACAAAAGTTTTTGATTTTGATCTGGTTTCATATCAATATTGTACAAGGATCTCAGGATGAATCTTTGGAAAACTGACATAAACTTTTCACTGAGCCTAGTGTTTATCACAAAATTTCTGGATCCAAGTAATTTCAGATTTTTTTTTAATTCTTCTTTTAATGAAAACAACACAAATTTGCAAGATCTTCCAAAACCTTTATCTGTCCCACCTTGCTCAGTGATTTCACTGAGGTCCCTAATCTGGGAGCCTGCTTGCAGGCCCCTTCGCCACCCGCAGACAATAGAGAGGCACGTTCCAGAGGGTGATTTCACTCACAGGTGGTGGCGTCGTGCTGCGTGGAAGACTACGGCCACAGCTTTGCTCTCACTTTTAATTAGATTAAGTGAAAGAAGTGGTCCTGGTCTCTCCAGTCCTTGTGCTGTTTTGTGTGGGCACAATTATATATGTAGTCAGAATGTCTACAGGGGCGAATTGGTCAGTCATAACTATTGTGTGTGAGTGCATGTATGGAAGTGCGTGATCGATCATCCAGACTGTATCACATCCCAAGAGCCATATTTGGGGTGAGGTGACACTGTTCTAGGCACACCAAGCCCAGACATGGTCCCATCACTCCACCTTCTATATTTGTTTAGTTGGTGCGTTGCACATAAGCAAGGGGCAGACAGAATTTGCTACTGCCTATTAATATGCTATATATACCTATAATATATACACTTATCAGTATGTGCATGAGCAATCACTACAGAACAGTTGACACACAGCTGCTTTCCCGTCCCAAGCCCTTAGGTAACACAAATGGCCATGTCAGCAGTCCCCACTGTCTCACAGAAACATTAGACTTCTCTTTATATTCCTGCTTTAGAGATGATGGGACTTAGTCTGACATCAGAGGGAGTCAGCAAAAATACCCCGTACTATCTGTTTGACATGAGGATGACTCAGCTGAAGACTTCACCTTTCTTGTAAAAGGTCTTTCTAACCAGCTGTTAGAAAGCCTGACAGCAGTAGCTGGGATGAACGAAACAACTTTAAGAACATTAATAGAGCCTGGCTGGAGCTGCAAACATTGTACCCTCGGTCTGAGTAGAAATCCTGCTTTATGGAGACTTTTAGGGAAGGCTTGAAGGAACAGCTCCTGTATCTGCAGAAGCAGCAGTGTGGTGGTTAGGAGGCAAGACTGTGAGTTAGGACACATGAATTCACACCCAGCTTTATTGCAAAATACTGGTATGACCTGGAGCGTATCTTTGTTCCTCAGTGTGTCTGTAAAACAGAACAAATTGTACTTCCCATGCCCAGGTCCTGAAAGCCTTATAGGTAGAAGATGTTTGCGTATTTTAAGGTCAATACCTTAGAAGATTTCTTATGTGGCCTTTCCTGTACACCTTACTTCAGTGACTATAACATGTAAAATACCTGTGGAAAAGTCCTGTCCGTGGGTTGATCCCAGTTTTGCAAGAAGGTTTCTGTTTGTCGTAACAGACTCTATTTGTACTGCCTCTAAGAAGTTTCTGGACAACTGAAACATCCCTTTTTATGTTTTCCCTTCTTTTATTCTGTCCTTTGTTTCCTAGTCCAGGCATCTGAGAAGCTGCATGCGGGTGTGCTGGGATCTTGATGACTTGCTGATCTGGGTGCCACTCTTATAGCCCTTCTTCTGCTGTTTGTTCCTTCAGGTGCTTCCACTCCCACC